TTTTTTTTTTTTTTAAGTTTCTTTTAGTACCAATTCTTCTACTATCTAGTTGCATGGCATTGCAACTAGTCAAATTACTTAGTGTATTAGGGTCTTTGTTATCCTTCTTGTAAAGTAGGGAAAATAAATATTCCTCTTCATCTGATCATTTCAAGGATTAAATGTTACAATGCATGTAAAATACTTAGTCTAGTAGTTCCTATATGGTACTTTCTATTTGCAATACTTACTAATATAAGTATTAGTTATGGCCATTTTTATTACCTTTATTATTATTAAATTTAGAAACACTGATTACTATACCTCGTGCCCTGCTCTCTGCATTTACTGTCTTCATAACCTAGGAAGACAAGGTTTGCTGAATGATTTAGCAGCTTTAGCTAGTTGCACTATTGCATGCAAACTTAACCTGATTTCATGGGATGAAACAGAATGAACACCGTGGCTCATGGCTGTCATTAATGAAAGATAGCTGGAAACAAGACAAACAGCTTCATTGCTGAGATTGTTTCCGGGCTCAAAGTTCTTCCAACAGCTGTTATTTTTGGCCATTAATCGTGTTAATTCTTTCTTTCTTTTTTCAAAGGCTGAGGGGAAATAGGATTTTCTTTAAAAAGAGAATCCAGACTGGTTATTTCTGAAGTCAGGAAGAACTCTTGTCCTCCCACTATTGTGGTCTTTTGGCTGCTTTGGCAGTTGGACTGAAGGGCTTTTCCTTTTGTTTTTCTCCTCTCTTACTCAAACTGCTGTAGTGAGAAGAAAAAGCAAAACCAGGTCTCTAATTCCAGAGAAGGAGCTTTGTAGCAGTTACCTTCAAGAAAATTTACTTCCCAAAGAAGTATGTAGTATTACATAGACAGTGACGAGAAAAAGAGAGAAAGAGAGAGAATGAATCTGAGCCAGTAAGACAGAAGATACTTAACTAAAGATGAAAGGAAGTTTTGCCTTTCCTGAAAGGTATTAGTTTTTTTTTAAAATTAAGTTGACTGCTAGTTTTGTTTAAAGTATTTGTTCTGGAACACTGAAGTTGGAGTCTACCAGACTGAGGTTACAAGCATTTTCTTTGGCAGCAAGAAGATACTTTTATAGAAGCCATGCCTGTACTTGGGGTTGCCTCAAAAGTGAAGCAACCAGCTGTTGGGTCAAAGCCTGTCCATACTGCTCTTCCGATACCAAATCTTGGCACTACTGAGTCACAGTACTGTTCTTCAAGATCTTTGGAACTTACTGGAACAGAGAGCTCAATGCTTTCCTGTCAGCTCACATTAAAATCAACCTGTGAATTTGGAGAGAAGGAATCCTTCCAAGGAAAATTCAAGGAGACAGAAGACAGTAAGGTTAGTGGCTCAAGGTTACCTACAGACTTACATAGCTATAATGCAAATTTCTTTGTAGATGGAATATAAAGCTTTGTGTGAAATGGATATTAGTAGAGGAACACCAGTGTAAGAATGTCAGTAACTTGAACAGCTGAAAAGCTATTTAGCCTATGTAAGAACTAAATAGTTTATAGCTGTTGCAAAAGTTGTAAATGATATTCTTTGAATATGCATATTTCATAATCACTTGATACTACTTATTGATGCAATTCCTAGTTATTCCTAGGCATTGGTTCTATTACTGATAAGCATGACTATAGATGTGAAGAAAGGGGGCCTAATTTTCATATATATTACAATGTAAATGAAGGTTTGTTGTAGTAACCAATATAGATGCCATCATTTTTCCCTGAATGTCATTTGTACTTTAAACAATCTTGGTTTAAATATTTTTCTCCTAAATGACATAATTCATTGCCATTTGAAGGAAAATGAAATATTATGTTCCTTAATACTGCACATTTGTCTGGATTTTCATTTGTAAATTGAAAACCCACTGTTTTATTTATTACTGATATCTTTTTCAGTCATTTAATTTTTGATATTTTGTGAGCAGTTAGCTCAAAGCTCTTGGTTTCTGAGCCATACCAGAATCATTTTTTCTAAGAGCTGTAGTGGTGTAGTACCTAAGCCTTGGCTGCCTTAGGCTGGCGGTTCAAACCCACCAGCCACTCCTCCTCATAAGGAAGACTGGGCAATCTACTTCCGTAGTGATACTGCCTTGGAAATCTTCTAGAAGCTGAGAATTAGCATGGCCCTGTAGTTGATGAACTTCATGGGAATTTATTTGTACATTGCTGAACATCACTGTTCAGTGCAATATTTAACTATGATGTCAGGTTTCCTAAAGTCAGCATACTGACCTCTGGCTTCTTAGAAAATGTTTTGATTTTACTTTTCTACTTCTGGTAGCATAGTGCCTAAGGCATTTGACTGCTCACCAGAAGGCTGGCAGTTCAAACCCACCAGCCACTTCTCAGAAGGAAGGTTGGGCAATCTACTTCCACAGTGATACTGCCTCGGAAACCCAAGGAGGGATCACTATGAGTCGGATCCCACTCCAAGGCACAAAACTACAAAAACAACACCCAAATGTAACTCAAAAGTATATATGTGCATAAACATACACACACACACACACACACAAACTTCATATAAAAATCACTCTGCAAAGAAAAAAGAAAGCTTCTCCTTCTGTCTGAAATCCCTATTTCGTCTATCTTTACCTATTTAAGGGAGCTCTGATGGCGTAGTGCCTAAGGCATTTGACTGCTAACCAGAAGGCTGGTGGGTCAAACCCACCAGCCACTCCTCCTAAGGAAGATTGGGCAATCTGCTTCTGTAGTGATACTGCCTCAGAAACCCTAGGAGGGGTTGCTATGAGTTGGATCTGACTCCACGGCAGTGAGTTTGGTGTTTCTTTTTTTTTTTTTTTTACCTATTCAAAGCCTTTGGGGTGCAGCCCCAATGCAAGTTCCTCCATAAAGTCTTTGCTAGCCACTCATTGCCTCCTTTCCTCTACTATGGATCATTGTTTGTACACTTGTTGTTGTTGTTGTTGTTATGTGCCGTCTAGTTGGACCTGACTTATAGCGACACCTCCTTGGGTTTCTGAAGCAGTATCACTATGAAGGTAGATTGCCCAACCTTCCTTCTAAAGAGTGGCTGGTGAATTTGGACCTCCAGCCTTCTGGTTAGCAGTCAAGTGCCTTAGGCACTACACTGCCGGAGTTCCCAACATCTTTATTTATTATTGTGTATTTTAAATATCTAGATAATTTCTTTCTTTCTGTAATAAATTGAAAATTTATTGATGGCAAGACCTGTATCTAATTCTGTGCTTTGCTCCACCAAAACACAGTTCTTTGTGCATAATTTAGTAGTAGTTGAATGCATCAATACATAGACAAATGAATTTATGACTGAATAAACAATTATCCTAATAAACATTTACTTAAGTTAGTAGAGCTCTTTGGATCATCTAATCTATAAAACAAGAAGTTTAGATAGATGGTCAAGATATAGTATTCATTTTATGTTCTAGGAAAACATTGTCTAAGTACAAAAAATATCAGTCAAAATAAAATATTTAATTATAGGCTTATAGTTCTCAGTCTATTGTGACAGTCCAGGATAAAACTGGGAAAGTAATAAATTATCAAGAAAAGACCTAAATATTCACTTTATGCAAATAATTAAAGATGAGTGTCATACAATTCTTTTCTAACACTCTGTGTACTCACAATGCCTTGTTTTAGATGAGAAGAATAAATAAATGCATTATCTTTAGTGGCCATGGCTATTGTCATTGTACATTTATTAAAACTTCCATTTGCTAAATGGTTTGGCCCAAGACTTCACAACTATGAGTACTTGACAACTCTGAGAATTTCGGATGATCTCCTTAGTTAGAACAAATATTAATCAAATGTGATATTCCAGTAAGACCCTGTGATAAGCAATGTTGTACTCACAGGAATGTTTTCACCACGTTATTTAATAAATTAAAAGGTTTTCAAACAATGTGAACAATACCTGGTCAGCATTTGGGACTATTTCAAAATATTAAAGAGAGTATATTTTTGAGATTTTTATAAAGTTTTCAAAACAAAGCTGAAGAAAATAGTAAAAATAATTAGATTAATTTGAAAAAATTAGGCTTTACTCATAATAATAGGAAATACAAAAATAATAGCATGAGTGAATTTCTTCTTTCATGTAGAGGAATTCTGGAACTGTTGTGGCTGGTATAGTGACTTCATGAAGTTGTCAGGGAGCCAGGCTCTCTTTGTTTCATCTACAATCATCCATTTGTGGCTTCCACCTCACAATCTTGAGAGGGTAATTGAGTTCCATTCAGCAAGAAAGAGTAAGTGACCAGAAAGACACATTTTTTCATCAAAGTTCTTCTGTATCCTGTGATCTATATATATAGCCCTAAGGCCTTACCTAACTGATATCAGAAGGAAAAAGAAAAAAAACCTATTGCTGTTGAATCAATTCTGACTCATAACGACCCCCATTGCATTTCTGATGGTAGTAAATTTTTACAGAAGTAGATTGCCCAGTCTTGCTTCTGCAGAGTGGCTGGTGAAATGGACTAAGTGAAATGGACACTTGGAAATGTGGTGTTTTTCAAGGCAGCATATTCCCAAAGAAAAATTATTCCTAAGGAATAAGAAAGAATAGAAAGTTCCCACGACACTTGACAGTCAGTAAGAAATATTTATGTGAGTACTCTGGCAATCCCTGAACCAAACTATTTACAATTGTTGAAGAGAACAAATTGATATATGGCAGTGTCTCAAGAGTGTCCTTACTCCAGCACAGCCTTCTCCTATCCCTGTTTTTAATTAGTTAAATATCATCATTCCAGTCACCCAATCTTGAATTCCTATGGTAATATCTAGTGAGATACATACCTGTTCAACATTCTGTAATCTCCAGAAATTGGAAATTTCACTTGTGTTATGTCTTGGATTTCTCCAACCTACGTGTTGGCACTCTCTATATTTTCTGGAAATTATTGCAGTAATACAACTTGATGTCCTTTTCTCCTGTGTCTTTCTACCATCATCTATCCAACACATTTGATATCCTGCTTGTTCAAAAAACTTTAGTAAATTCTCATGGCTTACTGGTTCTTTGTCCAGACATTCCAGGTACTCAGTTGTTGTAATCTTCACTTTTTTTTTCTTTCCAACATCTTTTTTTTTTCTACATCCTCTTCTTCCTGTGTCATAATTCTACCTAGCTACTATATTCCAGAGGTCTTCTGTCTGAGCATCCAAATTATCTAGAATGCTTAGTCACATTGTTGTTCAATAGATACATAACCCTAGTTCTTGCATATCAAATATATTTGAAAACTCCACTACAATAGCTTAAGGGTTTAAGTTATCCGTAGGTACTTCTTACCTGATTTATTACTCTTCTTGAGTTTTCTAACATCTTTCCTCATATGGTTATGTTCTTCTATTGTGCCTGAGCATTTCCCAAATGAGGGGCAGAGTTATTTTGCCTTGGAAACATTACTTAAGAATCTGGAGGTAAAGATACAACATTTGGTCTCTATTCATCCAGAACAAAAGAGAAGGAAGGAAACCCAGGACTCAAAGAAGAAACTAATAAGACTAAAACAATAAACCAGTAAGAAGAAACTATAGGACTGTCTTCAGGAACCACAGCCTCATCTACCCTGAAACCAGAGCTAAACAATGCCAGGCTACCACTACCAACCATTCTGATCAGGGACACAGTAGATGGATCCTGGAAGAATGGGAGAAAAGTGTGGAACAGGACTTCAATTTCTTAAAAAAACACTCACTTACTGGACCTGTTGGGACTTGAGGATTCTCCAAGACTGTTGATCTCATATACTGTTTAAGCCTTGAACTTAAATTATCCTCTAAGGTCATCCTTTAGCTAAATAATAGCTTGGCTCACAAATTAAAGAATATTAGCCATGATACTATGCTCCTTTAAAAAATCATCTATATGTAACCAAATAGTCAACAACTACTTTAAAATAAAATGAGGAATAAGTGGGCAGGGAAAGTAGATTGCTGGAAATGGAACAACCAGAACAGAAATAATGAGAATATTCAGATAGTATGAATAAATAATTTGTGTAGAAATCATTAAATAGGAACCTAATCTCCCATGTAAACATTCACTGAAAACACAATAAAATATTATTTTTTAAATTTTTGTTTTATTTATTTATTTATGAAAAAAAACAGGGAAAAACAACATTACTGCACTCTTTTAACTTTAGGACTTTTTATTTTAATTGTATCTTTTTTAAAAAAAGACCTCCAAACATCATTGATGCTCATGGTTCCTACCAAGGTTTAGGAGAATACATAGACATAGGGGAACCAGCTTTCTAAAGAAAAGATTTTTAGACTTCTAGAGATCATCCCAGATGTATATTAGAAGGAAATACAGGTAAATAG